TATATATATATGAAGAATGAAATGGGTTGTTTACTTAAATGTTCATTTTCATGTATTTTTATTACTCATAAAATGAGTAATTACTGCAGAACCTGACAAATGTTTTCGATTACTTGAGTAATCACCAGAATCAATGATAGGTTACGCGATTACTAAAATAATTGTTTACAACAGCCCTACTCAGGTACTCTTAATTAAAGTCTGACAAGTTGTTATATTTTTTTAAGTAGTTTAGTGTTGACTAACTGAACGACTGAACTGAAATAAGTTGCTACGACACGACACTGATCCACGTTAAGGAACCAGTCGCTGAGAAAATTATTCAACCAAGACAAAACCTGTTAAATGGGACTAGGCAATTTAAAAATATATCTCCATATAATTTCATAAAAGATCATATTTAATACTGTAATATATAATACATATAGTGTATAATATAATAAATATAGCATATGTTACCTTATAAATGACACTTAGCAGTTTCCCTTTCTTTTCTCTTCATTTGTTTGTGCTCCACCTCTCACACTGCCGGCCGACACCTCCACATTTTAATTGCACAACTGTGAGTCTTGTTTGTTATGCAGCAGGAAATTATTAAATATCTACCAACAGTTGGTTTTTTAGCCCTTTCTTATGTACATCTACAGCTGTATGTTAATAAAAGTGCTTGTGTGACATTCGGGACTTGTAGCTTTGAGTCAGAAGTGTCTTTGTGTTAGAAGTTTACGAGAGGAAATAAATACTGAGACACTAAACCTTTATTTAGGTTGAATGAATATCTCAGTATTGATTTCCTATATTTAGATATAGAGATATACATTCCATAATGCCGTTTAGCTAAAAACATCAAAATAATATATTGGGTCCATATCGCCCAGATCTACTGTTGCATGTTTTGCCTCCCCTGTGAGGTATCGACTCACCTGGCATGTTAGCAGGTGACAGCGGTCCTGCGCGGGGTGTGCTAGCACTAGCAGGGGAGCCAGCCGGGGAAGGCGAGGGCCCTCGAATGCCTGGCAGGTGGGGGGATGTATGAGGCGAGAAGGGCGATTGAGCGGGATTACTCTGCTCACCCTGGCTGCTCGACACACCCGACGTGCTGACACCGGGACTCAGGGCGCCCTCTGTACCTGTGGGCAGGTCATCAATGGACCCGGACAGGTCCTGGAAAGAGCAACAGGAAAATACAGCAACTGAGTAAACAAAAGGAATAAAAGGCTGGGGAAAAGGTCAAGATACGATTCTAAAAGAATCACTATTTGTGCAAGTTGAACCGTTTTAATTTACCTAACTCTATGTTAAGACATGAGTGGCACAGACTCAAATACTACACACACTCGTGCACACACAAGTATCCCTGGAGGCCTTTGTCCTTATTTATCTTTTCCACAGAGAAAGTGAGTGTGCATTATTGGTAGGGGTTGTCATGGTTACAAAGGTTTGTAGAATGTAAGCAGCAGAGTCAGCATGAAGCAGCGGCTCTGCCACGTGATCTCAATACACAAACACAAGTCACTCAAAAATCCTCTCAGATGTAATGGACGAATTTTCCAACATGCTTATATCATAAAACAAGCAAACAAATAAAGCTCAAATCTTTTTAAAGTGGCGTTCTGACACTTATCTTACCTGTTGTACATAACTATTTATAAAAAATCAAATAAAAAATAGAAAAGTGTTAAATTCTGACAGATTGACGAGCTAAAGACTAGTCTGAGCAGAGCCAAAACCAAAGTCAGTTGTTGCAACTCTAACCTCAAAAACTTTTGTTTTTAATAAATGTTTACATCAACTAGCGTTACACCAATAATACCATTCTGCGCTATAAAAATAAAGAGCGTCGCTCCTTTTAATTCAACTGAACACACGTGAAAATCGCACTCTCTCCTCAAGGTTTATACCAGCCTGACTTGCAGCTTCGCCATGTCCTACACGACTGCCCCTTTCACATTACCTGCAGGATTTTTAACCATTTAAATGTGTAAATGATGATGGGGTAAATGTTCTAAAAGGTTTTTGAATCAGTGTTTGCATGAACAAATACATGTTGAAGTTGAGATTATTAGAATACGGCAACAATCCACTTTGGTCTCAGCGTTGCTCTGAATAGTGATTAGCTCATCAGTCATGTCAGAATTAAACACTTCAAACTGAAGTCATTCAAAAAGCTATCTACAGCAGGTAAGATATTCATTAGAACATTTCCACAGAACCCTACTTCAAAATGTCTGAATTCTCTCTTTAAGTATGCTTCAATATTCCTTCAACTCCAGGTCAAAGTTTGGTGTCTGACACAAAGTTGGTCTGAACCGAGACTTCCTTTATGTACGTTTACATTCTCTGATGACTAAAAAGAAATGTTGATGTTAGAACATCCTACAACTTTAGCTGAGCTTCAATTCAGAAACTGGTTAACAATCATTTGCTTGCACGATATCCCAATTAACTATTGGCATTAATTTATGCTGACCGTCAGAATCTGTGAATCATAAAACGTCACAAATGAGTTCAATCTGCCTAGAAAAACAAATAATTTCAAATAGGCCTTTTTTGCCTCATACACAGCATTGCCACAAGCATCAACCACACAGCTGTGCCTCAACTACCACAGATGTGCAGTAGCAAAGACGGAAATTATTGCAAAGCATGACGTACATCAGTCACATTGAGCAAATGGTAAAAGAAAAGCTTTTAAAATGGAATTTAAAACTAAAAAGCTTAAAAATGTTGAGCTGACAGTCTTAAAAAGTAATAAAATTAACACATTCTGTATAACACAGCAAAAATAATCAGTCTGAGACCAGTTGTCTCACATTCAAAGCGGACACACTGAGATAACAAGCGTCTTTATGTCCCAGCAGTGACTACTGACCGGAAGGCTGGATGGGCGGCCCTGGCTGTCCTCTGGGCCAGATTTGGGTTGTGTGGATGGAGGGGTATTTGTCTGAAACGAGTCCTGGGATAACTCCTAAAAAGAAACACCACAGAATTAAACATATTAAAAAAAGAATGCATACAGGAGGAAGAAAATGATCTTTGACTGAGGGAAGTACCTGCTGAGGAGGAGGAGGAAAACGCTGATAAGGTGACTGCTGTGCTTGCTGTTGCTGAGCGTTTTGTGGGTAAACTGCAGGCTGGCCCTGAGGATGCTGACTGTGTCCCGGTGGCTGCTGCGAATGAGACTGTGCCTGCTGCTGCGAGGGGGGTTGCAGAGGACCCTGTGTAGATCCTGGGTAGCTGGATTGGCCTTGTGGTCCAGGGGGCGGCTGAGAACTTGGCTGCTGCGGGGCCTGACTGGGAGGCCCCTGCTGCTGGGTGTAAGGAGACTGGCTGGACTGTGGGGCTGATGCTTGAGAGTAGGATGACTGGGACTGAGGAGGCCCTTGTGATGGGCCTGGTAGTGGTCCCTGGGACTGTGGGGGTATGTGAGGCTGCTGATAGGGTGGTCCTCCTTGGTTGTGTGGAGCTGAAGTTGGAGGGTGGGACTGCCCTTGGTAAGGAGATTGCCTGCCTGGTTGTCCAGGTGTGGGCTGAGGGTAAAGGGATTGTTGTTGACTGGGATGTGGAGCCTGGCCTGGCTGGTTGTAATACTGTGCCTGGCCCTGAGAACCATACCCCCCTGGTCCCTGCTGTCCATATGTCCCCATCTGCACAGAAGATAAAGAAGACATTCAGACTTGACATGAAACAAACAAACAACAACAAAAAAATAAGAGAAATTCTGGATAAGATCAAATACCTGTGGCCCATAGGGCATAGTACCCATGCTTCCAGGGGTACGTCCCTGCATTCCCACTGGGTATCGTTGGGGCCCTGGAGGGCCATAACCCTGGCCTGAGTACCCTGGTCCAGGTTGAGGACCTGCAGGAGGCCCCTGCTGTGACTGCTGACTGTATGGACTGCCTACTCCATATGGCTGACCTCTCATTTTTCCCATTGGATCCATGGGACCTGAAGGCTGGGCAAGCCAAGACACAAAAGAAAGAAAGAAATTTAACAACTACAAAAAAAAAAAAATAGGATCTACACAAATTTGTTTAACCTAGTTAAACAAATTCCTGACACATTACTAACCCATTAGATCATTAAGTTCAAAGGCTTTAAAACACTTCGCTGTAGCGCACAACTTTTTCAGAACTAAAAACACATTTCAATGAATGGACAAATTGTGCCTCCCCCCACACCTCATTTCCCACGGTCATTACCAAGATTTTTTTTCTTTTTACTTTGCCGTAGTTTCGGAAGTCAACAGAGCTATATATATCTACTTTCAAATAGAGGGCAGTCTGCCCAATCCTAAACATATCCCAGCTGTGCTCGTTTTGAACCTGGTCCAAGTATTTTCCCCCTAAAGAGACGGTAGTTTGGCTTTGAATGAATGACACCAGAAAAGATGGAAGTATTTTAACAACAGCTAGAGAGACAGAGAAAATCAAGAAATGTATAAGAGCTTACAAACACAGAATAACTCCCAGCACATGCAAAAGTCATCCCCGTAAAAACTCAAAATGACCTTTTGGGTTATTCCTTATAATTTCTCACACGTGTACTTCTGCTGAGAGGAGCATCCTTGCTCCCCAACAGCCTAATATGCAAATGGAGCGCAAAATGCCTCGTGTCAGACTGTAAATCCAAGATAATGAGGTGAAATAAATAGGCTCAGCACATGGCTAATCTGCATAAGACAGAGAGGAGACTCCCTTGGTGGGTGAGAGACTGGACTGTTTTCTGATTGGCTTGGGGGGGGGGGGGTGTTGGAAGGGGTTTCTTTACAGTCAAACTTGTGTTTTCATACCAGACAACGGCCACACACCCTCCTAGACAGAAGCTCAAGACTGAGTTGAGTACAGTGTAAGGAATGAGAAAATCTGTCATTTTTGGGGGAAATTTAAAAGATAAAATACAAAAAACAATATCATAGAAAAGTTGTGCTTATGCAGCTACTGTGTACAACTCCAACATACGTCTGTAGCAATACAAAGAAAATTATTTAAAACCCTATATGAAGTGCAAAGTTCAACAGAAACTTTAATGCTAAAGCCAGTTGCCACCATGGTAACTAACCACACTTTGTCTCTCACTCCCTGACTGCCAAGTTAATGAACGCCAACTGACAAGTAAGCCACAGTTGCTGCGAGTAATTATTAGCCAGATATTAAACTGTGAGCAGCAGAAGACTGATGGATGTGAATTTTGATGGTTCTAGTGTTTCGTGTAGAGCTGGAACATCAAAGACAATTAATTTTCAGTTCTGAAGAGAAAACAGAGTCTTCAACAGCTGTCTCAAGAGAATAGTTTGAGAAAGTACATCTGAATTTGTGTAAGCTTGATTTTGCATTCTAGTTGGACTTAAAAAAGAAATTCCTATAATCACACTGGATTAGATAGATACACTAGGTTGCACAATTTTAAAATGTAGACATCTCGAAATATGTGTTTAACATTAACTGTTAGTTCTGTGAAAAGGTCTGCAAAACATCATAAAACTTACACCATGATGGTGTAAAAACCATAAAAGGCATCAAAATGCCAGTTTGGACGTTTAAAATCCAACTTCCTGTGACCTGTTTAAACGCTGAATGATGCTTCTGTGACGTACAGCTGAGATAAAGAGCTCCAAAGGTTTTCTTGAGCATTAAATCAAAATTCCTTGATCTCCATTCTATTTTTCTTGCAAATTATAACTGTTTTGTGACTTACTGCTACCAATAGCGTAGCATGCTACTCCCACTTGCGACACGTTTTGTATATAATTTGCATGTTCTACTTCAAAGCTGCAAAGATACAGGACTCACGTATTTAGCAAAAAATCAATAGGGAGCTTTAAAGCTTATGTACATGGCACTTTAATAACAGATGGTATAAATTACTGTGTTGTGAACATACGACTGTACTAATGTTATGTTGATTTTTGTTGTACAATGAGTAAACATGTCAAGTCAAACTCGTCAACTCAAAGCAATCTGTTGGATCTTTAGATAAATAATTCAATTCAACAACAAAAAAAGGTTAAATCATGTCAACTGGACCAGTTTCTTTAAGTGAGAAATGTTTCGTCCCCCATCCAGAAGACTTCCTCAGTCAGTGAAGGCTACCATGGGACAGATGTGGTTACTGAGCAAGTCCTCTGGATGAGGGACGAAATGTTTTTCACTAAAGAAACTGGTCCAGATGACGACTTAACCTTCGTTTGTTGTTATCTACCCGGACGATTGCGCTCACAACCCTTTTTCAATTCAGTTTATTTATATAGTGCCAAGTCACAACAGAAGTCATCTCGTGGCTACACAGAAACACTTATATATAAAATAAGTTAATAACATCATTTATCTGAGGAAGACTGCTTTGAATTTAACTTCACTGCAGAACTCTCATCTTGAGCAAGCATGAAGGCGACCGTGGAAAAGAAAAACTCCCTCATGAGGAAGAAACCTTCAGCAGAATCAGGCTCAGGACAAGCGGCCATCTGCTTCGACTGGCTGGGTTTGAGAGGAACAGGAAGGAGGAACAGATACACAATGGCAGGTTGAGAATCACATGTTAAGACAGAAATAGTATCAAATGAAAATGTATCAACTGTAACAAAAAAAAACAAAAAAAAGTCAACTTGTCCTCTAGTAGTCTAAGCCTATGGCAGCATAACAAGCCAACCCCAACTATAGGATTTATCAAAAAGTAAAGTCTTAATCCCAGTCTTAAAACTGGACAATGTGTCAGCCTCATGGACAGAAACTGGAAGTAGGTTCCACAAGAGAGGAGCCTGATAACTGGAAGATCTTCCTCCCATTCTGCTCTTGGAAACTCTAGGAACCGCAAGTAAGCCTGCGGTCTGAGCGCAAAGTGCTCTGTTGGGAAAATATGGAACAATAAGATCTGTAACATAAGATGGAGCTAGGTTGTTGAGGGCTTTGTAGGTTCGAAGTAAAATTTTGAATTCTATTCCGAGTTTCTGAACAGACGGTATAAATCGTTGTGTTGTGAACATGTGACTGCACCAATGCTGTTCGTGTTTGTTGTACAATGCACAAACATGTCAAGTCTTGCACAGTGGCCCGAGCCAATGATGCAGGCGCTGTAAATTAAAAACAACAAAAAACGCCTTATTGAACACACACAAAAACGAGCCATTATCCCCAGGTGCTGATGACTTTTGAGAGGAAAATAGTGGAAGTGAGAAAAGCTGTAAAGCAGAAATACCTCTGGTGACCCTGTGATGAGCTAATGCACTGTCCTTATCAGCAACTGTTGCCTTGCATCACATGTAATTATAAATGGCCATGAGCAGGCAGGGTGAGGAGCCAATCAGATCTCAGCTGGCGTGTCAACCCAAGACCAACTATCTCCTGGCTTTGACAGGAGGATTTTACCTCCACAATTCAAATCCCACTGCAAACTGCAGTCCGCAGCCTGCGAGCTCATCCGGAGAGATGGCTGCTGCTCTGCGGGCACTGCGAACAGCTCGGCCTCACGCCACAAGCAAACACACCGAATTCATATCCAAGCACAACGGAAGAATGCGCGACCTTCGTGCGACTTATCCCAGGGAGGATGGGGAAGAAAAAAACAATTTAAACAATTTAATTAAACCGGACGCGCTCGGGTCAATGTATCTAACCGCGTCGGTTCATTCGGCACACAACGCGTTCCTTCTTCCGTCTTACAAAACAGCCCCAAAAAGACGGAAAAAACAACAAAAAACAAAAAAAACAAGTCCAAACGAGATATAAGTGACAACACATCCGTGGCTACACGAAACAGCTAGAACGAAATTTCACGTAAATTCAGCGTCTGAACGGAGCAGCGAGCAAACAGGAAAACGAGCACCAATTCTCGACCCTTTCTTCAAAACTTAGGGCCTTTAGCTGCCCGAACGTCCTTTTATCGACGTGTACCTTACCCAAGCGCCGCTCGTGCTCGGCTACACGCCGTCAAACGCACTAAAAGCACCATCTTTTCGGTGGTATGTTGTAAAGAGGAAAAATACACACGACAGGCAGCCATTTTAGAGTCTTTGCGAACTAGTGTCAGACAATGGCTGGCCTGCTACGTTCACAACTAGCTAGCAGGAGGGAAGGAAACACGCCACGGTTCTTGTTTTAGTGACAAAATGTTCCTACCTGGCTTCTTGCGAGCGGTTGCCCAGAACTTCCCGGGCTCATAGGCGACGGGTGATGGCTTCTTTGTTGCCAGGCCGGGTTGCTCCCTCCGTACTCCGCTGGCCCCTTGCTAGCTCCTTCCTGGCTGCCGTAGTCGCTCGACGGGTAGTTCGGATACCCCCGCGTGGAGCTGGGCGAAGTTAGGAGCTTGTTGAGTGTCGGCGTGGATGTTGGTTGAGGGTTCCCGATGTTGTATCTCTGGTTATTGTAAGATCCAGCCATCGCCGTGGGTCCTCCCGGTGGTGGTTGTTGCTTAGCTGGCTGCCCCCCAGCTGTCGGCGCCTGAGCGCTGCGAGGGGAGTTCATGCCGTACGCCTGGCCGGGGTACGGAGTCCTGTTCGGGAACTGGTTGTAATTGTTAAACTGGTGGTTTGAGAAGCCATGCTCGTGTGAATTGGGTTGATACGGGTCCATCATGTTGCTCGACTGCACGCCCGGACCCGCAGAAGCAGCTGCCATGCCAGGGCTTTGTTGTCCGCCATATTGATGAAAAGCGGGCCGACCGTAGTGCTGGCTGTACCCGTACGAAGGAGGAGGAAAAGCGGGACCGTGGTGATGAACAAAACCGGGATGGTTGTTTCCCTCCGGTCCGACTGAGTCATTCGGGGTATTATTATTAACCCTGGGCGGGTTCCCATTCCCGTTCTTCATCTCAGGTTCCCCTCCTCCCCCTGCATTTCCACCGTCGGCTCCGTCCTGCAGCTCCCCACGGCCCGGCGAGCCGCTGTCCAAACCCGGCTGCTTTTTGTCGGACTGCTTCTCTCCCGGAACCGAATCGTCCTTGGGCTCTCGATCCGGCTTTTTAAGTTCAGAAGGCGGGCTAGTGTTCAGAGTGGCGACCTGAGCGGCCATATTACCCCCCCACCTCTCTCTCCCTCTCTCGGCGAGTCAGTCACAATCAAAAGCTAGCATTGAATATAAATAATTGTTTAGAACCATTAATCCTTGTGTCGATTCATTCCCACACCCTTATTCCGGACCGAATCCGGCTGCCATCCCGCCGGTTCCGGCTCCGTAGATTGGGTTAGAGAGATGATGGAGGTTCCATACAATGCGTAGAGAAGCGACAGAAATTGTTGTGGGAGTTGAGTTACTGAGCCCGGGTTGAGGCGCAGGGAGCTAACCCAACCAGCACGAGGCTCCGCTACATACAGCCATTTTACCGAGCCGCACGGACGGCCGCAAAACCCGGAGCGGCTCCGCTCTTCATGCGGACCGGAGCTTTTTCTTTTTTTTTTTTTTGCCCGCCGCCGGAGGCGAAAGGGCGAATATGTTTCTCCTCGTCTTTCGTTTTGAAGCTGTAGCAAAAACAACTGATTGCGTTTTGTAGACAACCCAATTCAAGATGGCCCCCACAGTTACCTGACCCTGGGAGACACATAAAAGGCTATAACTCTACAAATCTGACAGAAATGTAGCTACATTTTGGTGTGGTAGTAGCTGACTATCAGCCGGAGTACACACTCTGAGCGCAGTCACAACTCATATTGGAGTCACCCCAACTCAAGATGGCTGCCACAGCTATGTGACCTTAGCCAATAAAAAATAACTATAACTCTGTCCATATTGCAGAGCTATCATTATTGATTGGTGTGGTAGTAGCTGAGAGTCATTCACCAAACATACTATGAGCTAAAAATGTTAAATCTGGTCCTCTGGACATTCAAAAAAAACAAAACAACAAAAAAATGTAGAAACGTTTCGTCTCTCATCCGAGAGACTTCCTCAGTCTGAGGTGCTGTATTCAGCTCAGTCTCTTAAATAGCACCTCCAGAGGACCAGATTTAACTTTTTTAGATTTTTCTACCTGGATTATTGAGCATGCATCAGGATACTATGAGCTGTTGCAGGGAGTCAACCCAATCAAATTTAAAATTGTTTTTGTCTAAAACTCTGGTATTAAATGTGACAAATTAAGTCAAAAGACCCTAGCTGGATTATTGAGCATGCATCAGGATAAGTCAAAAAACTTAATTTCTCTGAGTATCTCTCGTTAACTTTTTCTATAAACCTTATAGCTAGAACATGTTTGTTTAAAACGCAGAAATAATCTGAGAAAAGTTCAAACCACTTTTATTTAAAGTGGGATCTTTATCGTGTTTTAGCTTCTCTCCATTGGCTCCCTGTCAAATCCAAAATTGAAATCAAAATCTTACTTTTAACCTACAAAGCCCTCAACAACCTAGCTCCATCTTGTATTCGAGATTTATTGTTCCATGTTTTCCTAACAGAGCACTTCGCTCTCAGACTGCAGGTTTACTCGCGGTCCCTAGAGTTTCCAAAAGCAGAATGGGAGGAAGATCTTCCAGTTATCAGGCTCCTCTCTTGTGGAACCAACTTCCAGTTTCTGTCCATGAGACTGACACATTGTCCAGTTTGAAGACTGGGCTTAAGACTTTCCTTTTTGATAAATCCTAGGGCTGGCTTGTTATGCTGCCATACGCTTAGACTACTAGAGGACAAATTGACCTAATTTCCTTAAATGAAATGTTAAAATTTAATCGTTTTCATTTGATATTATTTCTATCTTAACATGTGATTCTCAACCTGCCATTGTGTATCTGTTCCTCTCAAACCCAGCCGGTCGAAGCAGATGGCTGCTTGTCCTGATCCTGGTTCTGCTAAAGGTTTCTTCATTATGAGGGAGTTTTTCCTTTCCACTGTTGCCTTCATGCTTGCTCAAGATGAAAATTCTGCGATGGAGTTAAACTCAAATCAGTCTGCTCCTCAGATAAATAATGTTAAAGTATTTTTATATATGAATGTTTCTGTTCAGCGCCCTGAGATGACTTCTGTTGTGACTTGGCACAATATAAATAAACTGAATTGAATTGAATATATTGTACTAATATATCTATATATAGATATATATTAGTACAATATATATAGTGTATTAAACGCTTAGTTTGCAAAAATGAGTCCTAAAAAAGAAAAAATCTACAAATAACAAAAAGTATATAACACTAAGATAATATACAGATTCAGTGTTTGCATGTTTTCATCATTTCATGTCTGCTTTCATTTCTCTTTTTATGGTTATTGCTGTATTTTGTGACTGTTAGCACCCAAATGTGATCATTTTGCAGGTTTTTCTTGTCATTTTTCTATTCTCAGTGCATTTTATTGTATCATTTGGATGCTTTGTAACACAACAGAATCCTCATGGAGACTAAATGAAGGCAGCTTTTCTTCTGTTCTCAGACGTTTCTGAGTTTTTCTCTGTGCTTCAGTTCAAGTTTCCTCCGTCGGAGATCATGAAATGACTAAATCAGAATCTGACCACAGTTTGCTTTGATAGTGGATTTAGTCTTTTTGTGTCTGTCTGTGTTTTTAGTCATTAAACTCTTTGGTGCTGTTTTGTACATTTGGCAAATGTGTGTTTAGTTTTGTATCACATTTAGTCTTATTTTCTGCACATTTTACGCTTAATTTAAAAAAAAAGTCCTTTTGTGGTTGTTTTGTGTCCCAACTGGGTCCTTCAAAGGGCTTAAAGGGATAATTTACCATACTTTTCAGACTATAAAGTGCACCAGATAAGCGAAACAAAACAGATAAGTCAAACTTTATTCAACTCATTCACAATAACCCTCAACATTGTTCAGTTGTAACACATAAAATACAAAACAATGCATATTTTTGAGCGCCGTGTACCACATAAAATCAGTTCGAGGTCAGCAGAATTCATACATCAGGCACACCAGATTATAAGGCTCACTGTTGATTTTTGAGAAAATTAAAGGATTTTTAAGTGCGCCTTATAGTCCGAAAAATATGGTAGATTTTCTTCAAGAGACGTTCTGCGAAAATGTTATGAACAATTAATATCTTACCTGTTGTAGATGGCTCTTCGAACAACTTCCGTTTGGAGAAACAAGAGTTTAGTTCTACCAAAAAAAGGCAAGCAAACAGCTGGAGCTCATTCGAGTTAAAAACAACTCCAATCTCAATAGTTTTATAACGTCACATGTACACATTTTATTATAAGCTTTTACATTTTTGCCACTCTTACATGGCTTCCTGGAAATGTAGCCCAGACCGAATGTGCTCGGTGCTTCGGTCCCATTGCCGTCTGTTGGATTAAAATCAGCCCAGTTATAAAACTTTGCTTTGAAAACCCATTTTTCATATTTTCCTATAACATTTTGTGACTTTCTGATGGTGTTTTGCGCAACACTGTTCTATTTTGTGTGTCGTCTTGCCTCTCTGTCGTGCCATCCATCATTCTGAGCATATTTTGTGCTGCATTCAGGTTTTTTGGGGGCTATTTATCAGATTTACACTGGCTCCCCGTAAACCTCCATTAAATAAGAATAAAAAGAAAGAACCGTTGTCGCTATTTGACTACATTTACGTGCTTTTGGTGCTTCTCAGCAGTGTTTCTGAGAGGTATTTAGGCAACACAGGTTTTTCCACAGCAGAAGGAGGAAGCCTTGCAGCAAACGAGACTACCAATGCACATTCCCTGTTCTTCCCTCCCCTGCCTGTCTGCCTGCTCTGCTCTCCTCTACCACCCCCTCTCCTCTCTGTCTGTATCTCACTCCAGCAGAAACACACTCTCTGCTCACTGTGGGGGGATGGGCGCTCTCTCAACATTGAACCGAACCAAACAGGAGGAAGGAAAGGAGAAAAAAAAGACTTTATCTAGCAGAAAGAACACACAAGGACAGTTTGAAAGTGTCCAAACTGTTCGTGGGGAGACGAGGCGAGCACTTTGTGTCTCATTCTGCACAGACAAAACGAAGCAAACATTCATGACACACAGGGTGTGTGCACCGCATTGTGCAGGGGAGGACTCAGAATGAAAAAAGTGCGTGTGAGAAGGAGCCGAAGTGAGGAAACGATCAGAACACTCGAGTAGTTCGATTCGGTATGGATCAAAATTCAAATTTCATACGCAAGTGGGACAAAAGTGCCTTTTGGTTTATTCACACGCACACACCGGTTTGTCTTTCTATCTTCACAGGGACTTTGCATTGACTTCCATCCATTTCCTAACCCTAACCATTACTAGTGCATACCTAACCCATTCACCTTAGCCGTAAACATAACCCCTAACCCACCAACGGTACTGCTCCTTCTGGGGCCCGGGCTTTGGGCCCCAGAAGGAGCAGTAGCTCCTCACAATGTAGTGTGTTGGAAAAATGGGCCCTACAAGGTAACACACACATCTACAGAAGGCAGGAAGTACCAATGAGGAGGCATACTTGATCACATGGACAAACATCGAAACAATTTAACATTCTGCCTGACACACCCCCCTTATACACTCACACACACACACCGAGCTTCACAGGCAGGAATCTGTCCACATGTAATTTGCAGCCACATCACACTACACAGGGTTAATGTGATTTCCCCACATCAGTGCGAGCACACAAACTGGTTCACGCTTTATTTTACACTCACACACACACATGAAGCCCTATCCATCAAAGTGTGTGTGCTGTTTTGATGGGGGATGTGACATTAAAACGCAGAAAATTGTATATATTTTTTCTTAAATAGATAGTAAATAATGAGAGAGCAGAGCAGTGAAAACAGGACAAGCAGAGGAAGAGTTTAAGTAGCGTTTTTAGACAGAGATCTTCCATCCCAGAGAGCAGACACAGGGCCAGTTGTGCAGAAACACAGATTTAATGTGGCTTCCTCTCCCCGCCTGACTTAATTTTTCTGCTCTGGCTGCTGCGAAAACACGGAGCAGATTTTCCTGGATCAGGGAAGTAGGAGTTGCAGGAACATGCGCCACCTGCTGGCGAGAGGAGAAACCAACATTTTCACTTTATTGCACCTCCGCTGCACGTGGCTCTGATTCACATCCGTCTTTATTTTTTAATTTATTTGTTTTAGTCTAATCAGTAGTTTTATTGTCAAAATTAGCAAAGCAGCTACATTTTACTGCACAGAAAGAGAAAATGCAGGTTCTTTGGTTTAATTTAATGTTGTTGTTTTTAATATTAGGACAACAGTGAAGTCATGTGAACCGAACATTCATTTGGAAAATATTTTATTTTTCATTTTAAAAAATTGTACACAATGAAATTAATATATAAGCCCAAGTAAGGAGTACTTTCAGGAGGATTAATCCGCACAAGGCAACCGG